AAAAAAAAAAAAGGAGCCGGTGCTGGTTCCACCCTAATCCTACATACCAGAAGGCTGATCACTTTGAACCATAGACTACTGTGTTGCTGTGCACCTGGACTTCGAAGTGAATTTGTTTCAAGCCCGCAGGCTGGCCTGCACACCGGGACTGGGGGAACGTGATGACTCCCCAAAGAGTGGCACAGGATATGGGGGCAAGTGGGAGTGTATCATGGCCTCCCAAACTCCCAGAGGAAAAAAATGCCGTTAACTCTAGGAAACATTAAAATATCTGAGACTAGGTCTCCCACTGAAGCAGGCAGCTCCTCTCAGCCTCCCCACTCCATGCTGGTTACCTAGGGGGGATGAGGGACTTCAGGGGGCTGCACTGTTGTCTGGCCCTTGGGTCAGAGTAGACCAAAGAGGGCTCCAAGTACCCTCCCTGCTTCCTTTGTGTTCCCCCAAATTCATATGTTGAAGCCCTAACCCTCAATATGATGCATTTGGAGATGGGGCCTTGAGAGAGTTAGATGAGGTCATGAGTGGGGGCCTCATGATGGGATTAGTGCCCATAAAAGAAGAGACACCAGAGGGACTTCCCTGGCGGTGCAGTGGTTCAGAGTCCGCCTGCCAGTGCAGGGGACACGGGTTCGAGCCCAGGTCCGGGAAGATCCCACATGCCACGGAGCAACTAAGCCCATGCGCCACAACTACTGAGCCCGTGTGCCACAACTACTGAAGCCCGCCTGCCACAACTACTGAAGCCTGTGTGCCTAGAGCCTGTGCTCTGCAATGAGATAAGCCACCACGATGAGAAGCCCGCGGACTGCAACAAAGAGTAGCCCCCGCTCCCCACAACTAGAGAAAGCCCACGGGCAGCAACGAAGACCCAATGCAGCCAAAAATAAACAAACAAATAAATTTATCTTTAAAAAAAGAAAAGAAAAAAAGAAGAGACACCAGAGATCTTGTGCTCTCTCTCTCTCTCTCTCTGCCATGTGAAGACAGTGAGAAAGAAGGCAGCCATCTACGAGCCAGGAAGAGAGCTCCTACCAGAACCCGACCCTCTGGCACTCTGACCTTGGACTTCCAGCCTCCAGAACCGTGAGAAAATTAATTTCTGTTGTTTAAGCCACCCAGTCTATGGTATTTTGGTATGATGGCCCAAGCTGCGTGTCTTCCATACCCAGGTTGTCCTGGGGACGACCATAGCCAGTAACCACCCGCTGGGCCTGGACCCACTGCCACCAAAAGGATACTGCCGCAGCTTCTGCTGCTGGTCCATGGAGCCCGAGTGATGGACGATCTTGCGCAGGCCCTGCACCCAGTGCTGGGCTTCAGTGGGCGATGGGGCGATGAGGTCTAGAGTATTGCGCTGGTCCTTGAAGACGATGGAGAAGCAGCGGTCCTCAGGCACGTCCCGGGCAAACTTCTCCATGCCCTCTGAGCGGTGCCCCATCCGCACCTCCTGAATGTCCTCGATGGAGACTGCAAGAAGGGGGTGGAGGTGGGCAGAGAGAGCCGTGAGGGGCAGGAAGATGGGCAGAGCTGGGGACAAAAAGACACTGAGGTGGAGAAGGAACAGGACACAGCTATAGCGTGCAGAGTGGAAACGCCCAGGCAGAGAGAGATTGACTTTAGGGTGGGAAGGGTACCTAGGGTCCCAGGCCTCCTGTTTCTGTGCTGGGAGGAAGCAGGGCCCCTGGGAGAGGAGTGGGGCAGGGCAGGGCTCTCAGACAGAGATAGAGAGAGACCATTCTGGAGCTTGGGGCCTGTGACGGAGAGGAGGCCACACACTCTCCAGTTGTGCTTGACTTTGGGCCCTTCACCTCCCTCAAGACAGCCATGGGAGCCTCCAGGCCCCTCTCCTGACAGAGGTGGAAGTGCTTGTGTCAGGGGAGCAGCCAGGACCTTGCCCTGCATGTATCTGTGTGTCCTGATCTCAGGGAGCCCCTTGGCAGGAATGGTGCTCCAGGATCCCAAGAGGTAGACTGGAGGGTGCCCCTAGGGGTCTGAGATGACATCATTCTGCCCTTGGGAACCAGGGACGGGGGCTGTCCTGTCACAGCCCAACCTTCCAAGCTTTAGGGAGCAGCAAGGCCCTGCTCACCTGCCTGAAACCCCAAGGTGCCCTCCCTGGCCTGGCTGGGAGGGGCTCATGCTGAGCCTCCCCGCATCAGGAGCCAGGCTCTACCCCTGCCCCATCCCCATCCCCATCCTGAGCCATCCACGTCCATCTTTCCTGGGTCTAGACCAGCTCTGGCTGAGAGCCTGCCTGTTCTTCCCTCCTGGCCACCTCCAGGCCCCAGACGTGTGGCATGTGCCTGTCCGGGAAGCAGGCTCTGAGGTGTGAGACATGCGAACCCTGGGCCATGTGGGATGCAGGGGATATCCCTGCTGAATCGCTCTGCTCACAACCTCCCGTGTCTCTCTAGGTCCCACACCAGCTGTAGCTGCCCCAGGCTGGAAGTGGAAACAGGAAGCCTGGGCAGCGGAGGCCAGCTCCCGCACCGGCACCGGAGAGAGAATCCAGACGCCTTCCCTGCTGATGATAACCCTTGTCTGCCTCTGGGAACCAGAGCTGAGGGAGGCTAGTGGCGTCGGGATGGGGGCAACTTCCGGACCAGGAAGCAGAGGCAGAGAGAACTGGGGACTGCTCCCCACCCCCATCTCCTGGCCTCAGTTTCCCCGGGGGGGGGGGAGCACAGTGGAGGGCAGTCTCACTGCTCACTTAGAGGAGGGAAGCAGCCCGATGGGCATGCTCAGCCCAGACCTGTCTCTGGGTCTCTGACATGGAAAAAGCCCTCTTCCAGCCATGCTCCTCACCGGAGCGCACCTGGTGCCCAACCCCCAACCTGTCGCCCCTGTGGCCCCTCCTGTCAGGGTGCAGGCCCCTCACTCACGGCCCTTCCTTGTTCTTGCCCCTGCACCTTTGCTCACACTGGGTCTCCTGCCCGGGAGGTTCCTCCTGCCCTTGTGCTCCCAGCTGTGCCGGTATGAGGTTCCCAGCTCACCAGCCCAGGTCTGGAAAGACCCACATCTCCCACTCCTCAGTCTGCCCCCTGCCCACCCCCGCCAAGTGCTTGGCTCACACTGGGAACCATGCACGTGTGCTGGCTGGGGGGTGGGCTCCCAGGAGTCCCCAGGGCTCAGAGAGTATGATGCCCCATTCCCACGGTGCCGCTAACCACCAGCATCTAACAGGAAACCCCATATCAGGGCAGAGGCCTGTGAAGGAACCTGGCTGGAGCCACAGACAGAGGCAAGGGCCAGGTCACTCCTGTGTTACGTGGCCAACAGGCACGCAGGGTAGTTTCCTGAGAGCTCTTCAGGCTCCATCCCCTCCCACCCTGCCCTGCCCTGCCCTGCTCAGACCTCCCATGGCCCACTGCCCCCAGGACCCAGCCGGGCTCTCCGCATCCGACCCTGCTCCTGTCCTGCCTCCCCTCTGACCTGCCACAGGCAACACCTTTTCAGGTTTCTGTCCAGTGTCCTGGGGCCTGGCAGACCCTTCCTGAGACACCCTCAGTGGGCTGCCCCTCCCTTTTCTCCTGCCCCCTTCCCACCTGGGCCCTGTCACCTGTGTCTGATCTCACTCCCCAGAGACCTGCCAGTGGGCTGACCCTGCCTGCCCCATCTCTACAGCTGAGGGCAGGTGAATGGGTGAGGGATTTCCAGGGACTTGGACTGTGTGAGAAATCCAGCTGCAGTGATCCTTCTGTACCCCCAGCCACACGTGGTTATTTAGATATACATTAGTTAAAGTTCAGTAAAATTAAGAATTTGTGGGATTTCCCTGGCGGTCCAGTGGTTAAGACTCCACACTTCCAAAGCAGGGGGCTCAGGCTCAATCCCTGGTCGGGGAACTAAGATCTCACATGCCGTGCAGTGGCACAGCCAAAAAAAAATTCATTTCCTCAGTCACACTAGCCACAGTTCAAGTGCTCAATGGCCACAGGTGGCTAGTAGCTGACATATTGGACAGCACAGATACAGGACATTCCCATTATCATAGAAAGTTCTTTTGGATAGCTTTGGTCTAAAATTTTCCCACCAAGTAAAGGTGTAGAGGGAACCTCTCATTTTACAAAATTTTTAGGGCATTCTGTGTAAAAGGGCAGCAGCAGTTGGCAGAACTTTCTTCCTAAGACCTTGCAGGAGGCACTCTCCATCTGCAGGCCTGAGCTTTGGCTTCTTGGACCTTTTCTAAAGCTTCCAGAAAGCCCTCAGGTCCACAGCCCCAAGGGAGCTGCCCAGCCAAGGCCTCTCTGTGCAAGTCCCAGCCCTGCTCCACCCCAGGCTCTCTTTCTGGTCCCAGCCCAGGGAGGAGCTGCCTCCTGCAGCCCCACCTCACATCCTGGCCACTGCTACCTGGAAGGGCCTTATCTACCCCTGGACTTTGGGCCTCACCACACCTGGGCCCTAGTCCTCCCTCCTTCCCTCCTTCCCACAAATGTCCGGGTGGTTACCTGGGAATTCAGGCAACACTGTCTAGCTCCTTCCCTACTTGGGAGCCCGGCTTTCCCCATCTGTGGTCATGGCTATGGAGTCCCACCCCCAAAAGGCTTGAGCATCTCCATCTGTGGTCCTTGGTCCATGACTGACCTCTCTAGCCCAGGCTAGGCCTCAGTTTCCCTATCAGTGATTTAATTGGCTCCTCTCCCCAACCCTGGCCAGGCTGTTTCCCCATATCTGGTCCTGTTTGCATGACCAACCTCTGCCCCACCAGGCCAGGCCTCAGTTTTCCTACCTTTGGTCCTGGTCCACGACTGACCTCCAGCCCCACCCCACCCTGACCAGTGTCAGTTTCCCCAACCAAGCGCAGGTGCAGCACCCTGCCCCTCCCCCTGCAGCCCAGGGCACTCACACAGCTGGGACTCTGGGGTCCGCATGACCTTGCGGGACTCCTGCCAGATGGTCTTGCAGTCCTCCTGCAGCTTGTAGAAGCGTTCTCTCCGCCATGAGTTGGACTTCACCTTCAAGAGTTGGCTGCCCTTCAGCAGTGCCTGTAGGTCCTTGTCATCCTGTAGACCTAGGGGGCAGAGCTGGTAAGATGCTACCTCCTCTAGGGTCCCTGCTGCCCCAGGCCCCATGCTGGCCATGCCCGCCACTGGACCCTCTCAGCCCATTTTTCACCAGCCTCATCCTCAGCTCTCTGTTCACTTCTCCCTCCGTCACCCTTGTTCCAACCTGATTCTGGAGCCCTGCCTTTTCCAGGAAGGCATCTGTGTTGCCAGCTGAGGCCACGTAAACCTTTGGACACCCAACCACTCAAGGCCACACTTTATACACTATGACCTGCCACCCACAGCTGAATGGACAAAGAGAGGGCAGCTAATTCAAGAACACCTGGTTCCTGGGTGACCAGACCCCTAGGAAATGGCCTGGCTCTGAAAGACTTAGTGGGCTCCTCCTAGGGGTCAGAGTGACCTGAAGGAAGCTGGGACCAAAAGACCACCCTAGCCTATCACCCTGGCCACATGGAGTCCAGCAGCCAGCTCTATTCAGAGCCGATGGACTACCTCACCTCACTTCTGGCCCCAAAACAAAAACTCTGTGGCTTTTCAGCAATCTTTACCCTTCTGCTCCAGCAGAGTGGTGGCATCAGGGACCGTGTGGGTCCAGTCTGAGGGGCCTGTGCCTAGGCCTATAGGCTTTTCCTTTCTGAACCCAGATCCCCAGCCCCTGATGGGCTCTCCCAGTTTATCCATGACCCCACTCCCGATGCCCCAGCCAGCCTGCTCCAGACACACTCAGGACCTACAGAATCTTCTGGACCACTTCCCCGGGCCTCAGCCACCCACCCCCTATCCCTCCCCAATCTCCTGCTTCCAGTGGAGACACAGCCACGTGCTAACAGTCCCCCACACCCATGGCTTCAGGAAACCTCCTCCCCTCTCTGTGCCTCTGTTCCCCCAACAGCACTGGGTAAGGAGGTGTCTCAAGACCTCCTCAGAGGTGACAGTCTGATGTGACCTTCCCCCACCTTGGTCCCAGCTCTCTCCATCCCCTGCCTTAGTGTCAGCAGTTTCCCTCCAGCCCCAGGGGAGGCCCACTGAGGGAGGAGGGGGCTCCTGCAGGATGTCCTCAACTGGTGGCTGTGTCTGTGGGGCTCAAGACAGAGGCTGGGAAGGGTAGTTCCCAGCCGCCGGAGGAGAGAGCAGCCTCAGTCTCAGCTCAGCTGGGGGATTCCACTGTCCTTTCCGAGGCTGAGGTCAGCTGCTGGGGGGGTCATCTCCTTACCCTCTGGCTTCTGGCTGTACCGCCCCTCCCCGGCTAGGGCATTACGACAAGCCACTGCACATGGCACAGGTGGGGGGAAGGGGCGGCGCACAGGGGCGGAAGGTGAGCCCCACCCTCCGGTTCTGGAAAAGGCTGTGAGCAGATGACATGTTCATCCTGTCCTGGAGCCAGACTGCGGCCCTGTCTGCGGTCAGGCAGAGATAAGTCCCCTGGTTGCCGACATGGCTTCCGGAACACAGACCTCGGTCCCAAGGTGGGTCTTGATATTAGTGGCCCTTCAGGCCGCTGGGCGACCTAAGCAGACACCTCCATCTCTGAGCCTCATTTGAGGCCCTTTTGTTTCTGAGGCCTCTGGGCTGCCTGCCCCCCCTCCCTTGCTCGCTTAGCACCCAGAAGGGCTATGGGCCCTTCGCTCAGCCCCACTCAGCTGAAGCACCTTCTCCTCCTGTGGGAGGGTGGTGCTGAGGGGCCGCTGAGCTCAGGGGCCCCTGGGTTGACCTTGCAGCCTCACCAACCTGCCCAGGCTAGTGGCACATATGGGGAGTGCAGAGGGGCTACAGTGCTAATAGGAGGCTGGCGGTGGGGGCGGTGCCAGGAGCCCTGCCCATGTACCTAGGGTGAGGCCTAATGGAAACAAACTGAGTCTGGGACTCACAGCAATACACAGCTACACAGATATAGCCACACACATACACAGTCACACACACCACACCACCGTACACATCACACACTGCCATACACAACCAGGAAGAGACAATGGGCCACACACGGTGACACATATTATTACATGGAGTCACACACAGCCATACAACGTACAGTGCCAAAACATCATCGTCGTCATAATAATAGCAGTCACCATAATAATAATAATAGTTCATATTTGAATAAGATCCTGTTCTTAGCACATGTATTTAATCCCTCGAACAACCCTGTGAGGAAGGCACTATCATTGTTCCCATTTTACAGATGATGAAACTGAGGCTCAAGGAAGTTACATGGTAGAGTTGGGACTCAGAAGCTTGCCCACAGGGCCAATGCTAGAAAACATTACCTTATACAGCCACCTCTCAGGGGCATGCTGCCACAAAGAGTAACAGCAGAAAACCCACAGAACACACACACCATAACAGAGATGACAGAATCACTCAGTCACCTGGATCACCCACAGTCACACACGGTACACAGCATCACCCTGGATCGCACACTGTCACACTGGTGCCACTTAGTTACACAGCATTGCATATCATCATTGCTGCACAGTGGCCCCCACTACCATACAAGTGACAGAATCACCACTAGGTTTGTAAACAGGATGGTTTGGGGGTGGCAAGGTGCAGGGTAACCAATCCCCACCCCCAGTACTCACTCCACATGCCATGCCCGCAAACACAGCCCCACCGTGGGTCACACACTCACAGAACTTTACAGGTCCAGTCCCCGAGATCAGGAACATACAGTCTGAGTCCTGTCCCAGCTGCCTTCCCAGCCTCCGCAGATCTCGGGGGGGGGGGGGGGGGGGGGGCGCCCTGCATCCCTTACCCAGCCTCTGCTCATTGAGAGCTGCCACCTCGAGGCTCTGCTCCTGCAGGTAGAGCTCTCTGGAGCGGCTCTGGCTCCGGCTTCGGCGCCTGACCCCCAGGCACTGCATGACGTTCCGAAGTGCCCCCGCCGCCCGCTGAGCCTGGCCCGGGACAGTGTGGCGTCCAGAAGGCAGCCCTGGCCCTAGGAGCGGAACGGCCTCCTTAGAGTGGAGCAGGGGCAGAGACCTGGAGTGGATGGGCGGGGCTAGAACCCGTGGGGGCGGGGCAGTGAAGGGTCGGGCCATGGCTCTAGAGGCGGGGCGATACGGAAATCTGTGCTGAAGGGGCGGGGCCATACCCTAGGAGGCAGGGACAGTTCCAGAGGGGCAGGACCGATGCCCCCAGGAGGTGCGGCGAGAGCGGAATCAGGGCGGGGAGAGGAGGAGGAGGAACCGGGGCCGGGAGGTGAAGTGGGACAAATCCATAACCCGGGAAGATCATCAGTGGTGAAAGTCCAGAAAGCGGATTGGGGTGGAGCCAGAGCCAAAGAGGTGGGGAGCGGGAGGAGCCGAGTCTGCGAGGCGACGTGGGGCAGAGGTAGCCCGGAAGACGGCCGGGGGCGGAGCCAGGGCCCAGGGGACAAACCGGGGGAGGGTCCCTCACTGCAAAGGCCTTTTGTTTTCCGGCAGGGAGGGGCGGAACCTCGACTGTGGAGGCAGTCCTACCAGAGGGCGGAGCCTGAGCCGCGAATTCTAAACACTCAGCTGGAGGCCTGGCAGAGGACTGGAGGGCTGGGCAAGAGTGAGCCGGGAGGTAAGCCCGGCCGGGCGGCAGCCTGGGCTGCAGAGTCTAGCGGACAACCGGGTGGGGCGGGATAGGAAGCAGCCGGGGATGGAGCACGGGCCGGACAGCGGAACCCGCCAAATATTTTACCTCAGTTCCTCAACGAATCCATTGTGACTCAACGGGCTGTTGCCTCACATGTAAACCTCAGGGAGGCCTGTTTCCTTCTCTGAGAGTTCCGCTACCTGAGTGGGATAATCTCCAAGGCTCCAAATGCGAATGGAATTCTTGAAAAAATGCTGGTCTTAAAAATGAGTCCATTAACACAGGCTTGCTTTGATAAATAGGTGAGGAGGACTCCAACTCCATATGAAACTGTGCTGCCAGTGTGCTCGGAACAGTGGGCCCTTTCATGTAAGTTACGTCTTGCTTTTCATTCACCCAGCAATTATTTATGGAGCCCCTACTGTGTGCTAAGGCCAGGACACCACCCAGAGGCCTGACTCACTCCTCTCTTTTACTCTCCGCCTCTGAATAGTTCCTTAACCCGCCTCACCGCAGCTCCAGTCACCAGCATTGACAGTGAGTCACTGGCAAAGCCAGTTATTAGCACAGACAAGCACAGCAATAATAACAAACTGAAGTGCAGAGCAACTTGCCTAAGGTCACACCTCGGAGAAAAATAAATCATGAGAATGTGTGTTAATGTAGATGAGCTGGAATATGGGCACAGAAATATTGTTCTTCATTTGGAGCTGAGGGAGCTGATTGTAAGGGGAACCTCTGTTTTAGAGAAACTGCGTGATGGTTTAATGGTTTAATCAGAGGGCCAAGGACTCCCCGAGGACCTATGGATAGGATCACATCTCAATACAATTTGCTTCCTTTGAATTCTTATGTATTTTATTTTATGCATTTAAAAACATGATCCTGAGAAGGGGTCCACAGGCTTCACCTAACTGCCAAAGTGGTCCAGGGCACAAAAAAGTTAAGATCAGTGTGGATCAGTGTGTGTCTGTGTTGTGTGGGCATGGAATCCCAGGGACAGACAGCTTTGAAACATAACTGAGGAGGGTAGGGGTCTGGCTACCCCAAATTGCTATGATGGATCTGGAACCGTTATCTCTTGGAGGTACTGGCTTCTTTGCCAACCTAGAATTCCTTTGCCCACTAGTGCTTTATCCTCACAACATCCCCTATCAGTAGGTATTGCTTTCCCGTGGATGAGAAAACAGGCCCAGACAGGCAAAGGGACTTGCTCAGCGTCACAATGTAAGTAGAGGCAAAGCTAGGACTGGAACCCAGGTCTAGGACTGCAGCCCAGGTCTCCTGGGACCAAGATGAGGCCCCTCTTACACCCTACCTTGCACTTTTACTAATGCCAGGTTTTACAGTGGGGCGGGAGGGATTCAGTGTTTGAATAGTTAGTGTAGGTGGAGGTGGATGTGTTCAGTGAGGGGAGAGCTTTGGGAAGTTAGGTCTTTTTGGGTACATCTGGGGACCTGCTGGAGAAGCCAGTGCAGGCCTGGCTAGAATGGAGCAAGCAAAGGAAGTAGGGTAGGGAAGGAGGCCAGGGGACTACAGCGTCAGTCTGAGGGCTTCAGAAGCACCAGAAGGAGCCCCTGATTCTTCTTTTTTTTTTTTTTTTTTTTTGGGCTCACTGCATGGATTGCAGGATCTGAGTTCCCCGACTAGGACTCAAACCCCAGCCCCTGGCAGTGGAAGCATGGAGTCTTAACCACTGGACTGACAGGGAATTCCCCAGGAGCCCTTTGATAATTAAGGGTTCTGGTCACTTTTTTCCTGGTTAGGGACTACCTTATTCCCCCTCATCTCACAAAGTACTCACATGACGTGGTCACTTGGGGGGTGGGCCTCCTTTAGGGACATTGTACCTGCTGGTACTAGGCACTGCTCTCATTATTGCCTTGTATGTGTTAGCTCATTCAATCCTTACTGCAATCCATGAGGGAGGTAGTGTTCTTATCCCCCATTTTACAGATGAGAAAACTGAAGCACCAAGAAGTCAAGGGATTTGTCTAAGATGAAAAAGCTAAGACTTGAACCCAGGTAGTCTACTTCCATAATCCATGTCTGTATACTACATACAGACATGCATGCATCTGGGGCGAGGACAGAAGGGACATCTCTTATCTAGGTGGCCCCCATACCCCCCCAGGCCAATGGAGGGAGCCTTTCTGCAGCAGACCCCCAACTACCCAAGCCAGAAAGTGTGTCCAGTGCTAGAAGACCCAAAATATGAAAGAGATGCAGACTCTCCAGTGGAAGTGTAAACAACCTGGAACAGCACAGGGCACAGTGACTACACCCTTCCACCACCAATTCTCCTTGACAGATTCTTGCTTGCCGATATGGTTTGCAGGGGGAACAAAAGGCAGTTAAGGGACGTAATTTTGGGTGATGAGCTAGAAGCAGCAGGGCCTTCAGGGAGACAGCTTGGGATCGCACTGTTCTTGCCAGCTCCGCAGGAAGAGCTGGACTGTCAGGCACTTGGGAGGCAGGCCTCAAACACGATGGACCAGGCCTGCCAAGCCCATGCCACAAAACTGGGAGGTGCTGAATGAGCCTCCACGTGGCTTCCTCTCCAGGGAAGATACCAGGGCTGCCCAGGGACAGAGACCGGACAAAGGCACAGATGCCTGAGGATGCAGCCCATTCTAACATGAGCTGAGTCTACAGCTGTAGCCAGAGGCGATCAGAGGGCTTGTAGGAGGTCTGAATGTGAAGCTGGCACGGAAGAGGTGGCAGTCTGCAGGGTACACAGCACTAGCTAAGGGATGATGAGAGAGAAAGCAGAGATCTCTACTGTGATCCTCTGAGCTGCCCAGCCGCCCTTCCTGCCAGGGTGGCAGGAGCACTGAGACACCTCTGTCCTGAGAGGAGAAGAGGGAGCCCTGGAAAGGGCAGGGATCCCATGACCCTGAAAGAGTTTGCCTTGAGGCTACTGGTGTGAGGGTAACAGCTCTGGGCACTGAGCAAGGTGTCTCTGGGCCATGGGGACCAGATCCGGGCCAACCAGGAAAATGAGACAGACTGGGCACTGGCTGAAAGGAACGTCTCCGAGTGTCCCTGAATTCCAGAGGGTCTCTAGTGGACAGCTGGAGGGCTCTGCCTTTCTCTTTCCCTTCTGTTATATCCATGAATGGTTTAGGTGGATAGGTGGTGGGCACTAAAGGACTCCAGAGGTACTAGAAAACAGAGGGAGATTGGGTTAAGCGGTGATTGGTGCAAGAGAGGCAGGGTTTGCTGAGCTGGCAGATGACCTGGGGCGCAGGAGGGCAAAGCACGCTAAAAGTGGGTGAGTCCCCAGGCTGGAGCAAAGAGATTCCAGGTCCAGGTTGGGGGCCCCGTGCAGCTAGGAGACTCCAGTCCGTGCAGTCCAGAGCCCGCGGCTGCCCTCTCTCCTGGAGAGACAGCTATAGGGCAAGGAGCTGGCCCAGACTGTTTCCCGGTCGATCGGAGAAGACAGAGCTCGGCTGGACAAAGGTGGGTAGCAGCAGGCAGTTAGAGCTGAGACTCAGGCCTGTCCGGCCAGGAGGGTGCGCAGATGGGGGCGATCGGGCTGCCCCTCCCAGTCTGGGCGTCGCTGACTAGGATTTCTGCGCTGGGCAGTTACTGCGGCGCGGCCCGACCTCACCTCGCACACCTCCTCGCCCCAGCCTTCCCACCCCGCCACACCTACGCTGCCTGACGCGGTCCAGGCATGCCTGGGCTTTGGGGAGCCTCTCTGGGCGGCCCGGACTGGGCGAAGATAACTCAGTTATTCGTGGATGCTGGTTCCTTTCCTCCTCGGTCCCTCCGAGCGCGCCGGACCCTGGAGCCCACCCTTCCGTGACTAGGACAGGGAGAGGGGGAGTCCCCGAGGCGGAAAGGCCGGGGGTCGTCTTTAGGGAAATCTTCAGACTCGCACCCTTCTCCCCACCGGCCGGGTCTGGGGAACAAGCCTGGAAACGCCCAGGGTTGCGCCCGGCAGTCCCGGGTGGAGATTTCCTCCGTGCGACAAAAGGGACGAGGGGCGGGCCCGGGGCGGGGCGGAGGGCGGCCGAGGAACCGGGGGTTCCCCATCCTGGGCCGGGAACGGCTTTCTTCGAGGTCGGCCCAGGCGGGGTCCCCCCGCGAGCCGGCCGAGTACTCACCGTGCAGGGTCAGGAAGTCCTGGCCCGAGTCCATGCCGGACGGACGGCGCGGCGGGAGAGGGGCGCCGCGGGACACTCGTCCGCAGGGACAGCGCGGGCGGCCTCGGGTCCGAGAGGAGTGCAGAGGAGGGCCCCGAATGGACTGCGGAGGGAGGACACTGGAGATGCTCCCGGGACTCCACTCCGCCCCCCTGCCCGCCCGCGCCCCCGCCCCCGCCCCCTGGGCCCTCCAACCAGCGCCTCTCCCCGCCCCTCCTGGGGGTTGGGGAGGAGGGCAGAGGTGGGGACCGGGAAGCCGGGCCATCCCTGGCCCAGGCCTGTGGGCGCGTCCCGGCCAGAAATAGCCGGATCTCTCTGGCTTCCTCAGCCACCGCCACCCACAGGCCGCGGACCCTGTCATTATCGCCGGCGGCCCCGTCCCACTCCCTGCCTGTGGGCGCCTCGCCGGGGTTGGGGTGACGCACGAAAGAATCTGGAGTCCTTCTGGGGCAGGGACCGCGTGACGTTCGACGCCCAGCCGGGCTGGTGCGAAAGGGAGCCTCGGAGTCCAGGCGCCAGCCGCTGCTCCCCGGATGTCTGCTTTCCCTTCTGCAAAATGGGTGCACGGATGCGAGTGAGGAGGTCCTTGGGGAGGCATGCCTGGACCTAGTCTGGAGAAGGGTCCCCTCCCTGCTCGCTGGGAAGTTTCTAACCCCAGAAGTGCCCTTGGCGGGGGGCTGGGGCGGAAGCCATAAAACTTAGAGCAGGTAGGTGCAGAGAGCTCTCCTTTGAGCCCCTCACACCCCAAACTCCTGGCGATCTCCAGGGTACCTTCTTTGGGTGGCCTCCCAAGGGGCTGTCTGGACAAGGGGTCCCTAATGGACCCCTCCCACATACTCCCACCATCAATTCTTGCAATCCTGACACCCTTTCTATAGGTACCCAGAGACCTCCAGGGTAAGTCCTGGGGGATCCTGGAAGGATCCTGCTGCCCACCAACTTTTGGGAAAGGCCCTTGGGAGAGCCCCCAGAAGACCCCCCAGGATGCGGGGTACTGAGCCCACCAGTGAATCTTGCTGGGCTGATAAAGCCAACATGAGAGTCTGGCAGAACCAGTTGGACCCCAACCCCTCCCCCTCCCAGTACAAGCAGGCCTAGGTGGCCTTGAATACCTCATGAAGGGATGTAACCAGCTAGAGAGCAAGTCTTCCCATCCTGACAGTTGAGCCTGGGTCAGGACTTTGGAGAGGCTCCTGCCCTTTGTATGTCTCCCCTATG